TTTTTTTTTTTTTTTTTTTTTAAGCAGAGAGTCTTTCTTTTTTTCTTAAAGGATTTTATTGGGGAACAGTGTGTTCTTCCAGGACCCATCAGTTTCAAGTCAAGTCAAGTAGTTATCTTCAGTCTAGTCGCAAAGGGCGCAGCTCCGTGGCCTATGTGGGGATCGAACTGGCAACCCTGGTGTTATAAGCGCTGTGCTCTAACCACCTGAGCTAACCGGCCACCCCCTTTAAGGCTAATATTAATTCCATATTCCATTAGATAAGCTTTACCTGTGTTGCCCCAGACAGCACTGCAAAGCCACACTGCAAATTCTTTGTCCTTTCTATCTCCTTTCCACTGCCTGCCCGCTGAGCTTTGATGACATTCATGGAGTGTGAAGTATATGAAGTATACAGCTGTGTCCTTAACACCACAACCCATGGCTTAAAATGCTAATGGAAGATGGGGGTTGGTGAGGACTCAGAACTTATAAAATAAGCCCTTCAGTGAAGTCGCCCAGCGCAGGGCTGTCAAAAACCTTCTCAGGAAACTGGCTTTCAGCCTGCTTCTCAGGAGCTTAGAGGAAACGGTAGAGCTCTGAGGTTGGAATTTAACAAGAAATCTATGTGACCTGTATCCTGCAAGTAGACGCTTTAGAAATTGTGGTGACAAGATTTCGGCATCTTTAAAATAACAGGCCTGGGGCTAGATGGCTTTCCTTGTGGAAGCTGGTTAACCCCTTCAGAGAACTATGTATGCTGGAGAGTAGATTGAAAGAAGTCACATGTGACATGGCGTATGGTCCTTGGAATAGTGAGTGGCATCCTGAAAATGTGACTACCTTTAAAGGTGGCCAGGTAGTCCAGAGAATTCGGTCCATTGTGTTTTTATTGTTTTAGATGATGAATCACAAGGTTTCACACCCAGCTTCCTAGGTTCCTCAGCTAGATCAATTCTGAAGGATTTCACAGATCAGACTGTTTACTAAAAAACACCAGGATTGTCTTTATGGGGCTTGAGAAAATATGACAAATACGCTTTGTCAAAAACCCACATTAAGCTTCTCTGAAGAGGCTATTTTTGAGTTAAATTAAATTTAACCCTGAATAACTAAAGGCTCTGTCAAACATACATTTATTTAAATTGCTTTGGCTTTTCGAGAGCTAACCTTGTGCTCCGTATAGAAGAGAGAAATTTCAATAGGAAGGAGAGAGGCGAGTTTAAAGAAAATCTCTTTTTATTCCCTTTACCCTCTTGTAAAAAGCCTAGTCGCTTCACTGTGATTTTTTTTTTTTCTTTTCTGAAGGCAAAATCCACAGTGTTCTTTGAGCTGGCTGAGTTTGTTAAATCCTTGGCTGGCAGGGATAGGCTGGCGACCTGGTGTGTAAAGCGCTTCTGATCTTCCCTGCCCTATCAGAGGGAAACAGCGCTGTGTTTTTCCTGCTTCTATGTGTACTTTCTGTCCTCATTTAATTCAGATTCCTTTGGGATTGTGTTGTGGATTTCAACTGATTTAAACTGGTGTGGAACTTAGGGACACTGCTATTGTCCAGATATGTTGGTAGGGAGTGTCCTATTATAGCATCAGCAAAATAAATAGAAGGAAAATGGTAGACACATACTGGTATATAATCTCTCGAGGGAATACAGCTAGTATAATTGTTGACAGGAATAGAATAAACAGTGCCTTTAAAATAGCTATTGAGTGCCCTTTTACAGTTGTTAGAGCATAGGGAGATATATTGACATTAACTCTTAGTGGTTTTATTAAAGGCTTTTTTTAATTGAAATTTTTAATTGAAAATTAAAGTAGCAAAAATCGATTGTGCTAATCCCATAGCGTATCGTATTTCATGGAATTGAATGTCTCTCTCACTCATCAAGTAGTGAGTTCCATGTGTCTGTTGGTTGGTTTGTTTGTTTTGGTTAAATCAAAAAAATTTGTGCCATAACCCAACTGAGTTCAGGCTTCTCATGCCCATATGCCGTACAGTCTTTAAGGTCTATTTCAGGTCTGGGAGTTTGGGATTCTGGTACAATTGTTATTTAGTTTCTATTATCATTTTTCATTTTACTTCTTTTCTATGATGCCCAATCCATAATTATTTTGCCTTCCTCTAAATCAGTGGTTATCAATAAGGAGTGATTTTGCATCATCCCTCCTCCGTCTTCAGGGACATTTGGCAGTGTCTGGGGACATTTTTGGTTGTCGCATCTGGAGAGAGCGTTCTGGCATCTAGGGGGTAGCAGCCCAGCATGCTGCTAAACATCCTTCCATGCAAGGACAGCCCACAACAAAAAATTATCAGGACCCAAATGTCAATAGTGCCAAGTTTGAGAAACCCTGCTGTAAATATGTGTGACACTTATCTGTACCATTCATTCAGCATGTAACCAAACACATATGTCCTAGTATTATGATTTAACTAATTGCTTATATCTATATTTGTAAAATACTTTTATTTCTCCTGTATACTAAGCACATTTATCTAGTGACCTAATGATTTCACCTAATCCCATAGCTTTAATTACCATCTATAAACTGATGAACCTCAAGTTTGTATTTCCAACTCTGAACTCTTTCAAGTCCTTCCCCTTTTTCAGCTGATTACTGAACATCTCCAGTTAGGTGAGCAATACACAGCTCAGCATGTTCAAAGTGAATTCTTGATGCTTTCACAAACTTGATCCTCGCTAATCCGTCCTTATCCTGTTAATCTACGCAGTTAATGTGGCCGAAGACCTAGGAGAAGTCCTTGATGTTTCTCTTTTCCTCGCCTCCCGCAGTCTATGAGGGAGGCCCTTCCGTTTACCTCTGCACCGTATTTGAATTTGTTGTTATTCTTTCCAGTGTGGCCAACTTAGTCCAAGCCAGCTTCGTCTCTTATCTAGACTTATTCCATCGGCTACTAACTAATCTTCCCACTGCCGTTTCCCCACAGCCTTCTTTTTGCCTCTTATATATAATAATTGGAGTGTTCTTTTTAAAGTCTAAATTGGACCATATCACTTTCCTGCTTAAGCTTTCCAGTAGTTCTGCACGGTTCTCGAATGTAACCCAAAGCCTCAGCCTCCAGGGCCCGGTGTGTGGGGCTTGGCCTCCCTGTGCCCCTGGGGTTCCTCTTACACTCTATGTGCCCCCCTCAAGCCACACTGACCCTCTTTCTTCTGAACGCCCCAAGCTCAGTCTCACTTCACCAGGTTAGCCATGACCACTCTGCCTACAACATTGTCCATGTGGCTTCCCACGTGTTCACATGGCTTGTCCCTCACTGTAGTCAGGTCTCATCTCTTCCGAGCAGCTTTTCCTGGTCACCTAACTGGCCCCTCGCCCTATCTCTTTCTATGCCAATGGGCTGTTTTATTTTTTTCCATACCACTTTTTTTTTAGCTGAGCCATCCTGCCACCTGTTGGCAGCTCAGCAGCAGCTCAGCTCGGGCCGGGACTCGAACTGGCGATGCTGTTGCTCAGAGCTCGCACTCTTGAGCGAGCTCTTAACCAACTGAGCCACTCAGCCGGCCCCTTCATACCACTTTTAAAAAATTAGTTTCAGGCATACAAAACAATGTACTAGTTAGACATTTATACCCCTCACAAAGTGATAACCCCCCTTCCCAATCTACTACCCTCTGACATCATATATAGCTGTTACAGTTCCACTGACTCTATTCCCTATCCATAGCACTTTGTGTTTTCTGAATTTATTTTATTCATGTATTTCTTTATGTGTTTATCATCTTCCCCCTTCCTTAGAATGTTGTTTCTTGCATGAAGTACCATGTCTAGCACATGGTAAACACTCAATAAATATTCATCATGTATATGAATAAATTAATTTGCCCGTGTACTGTCTCTTCTACTTAAATGGTAGAGGCCTTACATTGTTATGTAGTATTTTGTATGTACAGTTAAAGTATGAAGTCGGTGAACATATTTTGATCATCTTTAAATCCTGTACCTCCTGCAAAAACAGATGCTAAGTAAACATTTTGATGCAGTGCTTAAAAATTCAGGCTCTGTGGTATGATTTTGTCCAGCTTGTGTTTCCATCTCTGTGACTTGGGCAAGTTACTTACATTTTATAAGCTTCACTTTTCTTATCATTAGAATAGGGCAATATTGGGGGAGAGGGGTTGTTTCTGTGTGAAGGGTGAAAAGGATAACTATTGCATTGTTCTGTACACCTGAAACTAACAATAAAAAAAAAGAATAAGGCAATAATATCTGTTTCATAGGCTTATTGTGAAGATGAAATAAAGCAATGCATAGAAAGTATTTAGTATGGTATATAGCACATTATAAGTGTTCAATAAAATTTAGCTATTGTTCTTATTCCTTCATTTAGATTTGACATTCCTTAACAATAGAGTAGGACTTCGAAGAACCTGAAGTTCATTATATATATATTTAATAAATGTTTGCAAGAATCTAAAACTGTTGGGCTATATTTTGTTTTTCAGGTAGGACTAGCAGCGTGCCAAATTGCTAGAGCTTACGGCTTAAAGGTTTTGGGCACAGCTGGTACTGAGGAAGGACAAAACATTGTTTTGCAAAATGGAGCCCATGAAGTGTTTAATCACAGAGAAGTTAATTATATTGATAAAATTAAGGTAACATTGTTCTACAGTTTTATAAAAGTAAAATTTTCTTTCTTGGGAGACTTACGTGTTTTTTTGGGTAAGTTCTTTGTATCAACCACTCTCTTGGTGGTATTCCCTTCTTTTTTTTTTTTTAATTCCTGTGGTTTTTTTATGCCTGTGAGTGTTTTAAAGTTTTAACTACTTTGAAAAAGCAGAGATGTCTAATTTTTAAACCTTCACTATTATTTCTGTCTTGTTTATGTTTATCAAATGAAATTTAGCCCCTCAAATCTTATAGCTATAAAAATTCATACTCTTTAATGCAAATCACAGTTTAAGTAAAGCTACAGCTTAGTATTTGCCCCTGTGAGGTGTTCTTACGGAATTTCCCTTGGTGTAAAATTTCCATGGAAGGGGAGGTATCCACAGATTACAAACTGTACCTGTCTATCCCAGGGAATACAGTTTATTTGTTAACCGGATGCTTGGAGGATTAATCACTACTTCATCCAAAGCCGTGAGGCAGCATTTAGTTAAGTGTTATATACGTTCCATTGATACAACAGAATTCAAGCAGATTCTGAAAGTCTCCATTGGTGCTATCCTAGCAAGTTACTCAACACTGATTACTTTGCTATTCCTCAAACTACTTGCTCATGTTGAGAAATAATTAAAGAGTTTTCCAGGTATTGATTACTATGTAAAGTAGGTCATTACAAACTGAGGAAAAATAAGAGTTGAGAGTTTGTTTTTTACCACTAACTCGCCTTTCCAGAAAACTGAGTAAAGGTACTCCTTTGTTACATGTCTAGGAAACCTAAAATTAATGGATGTTCACTCCCAATACCGATTTCTAAGAGTATTTACGAAGATGAAATATGGCTAGTTATTTTAAGACTATGTTTTTGTTTTGCAGTAATCTAATTTTAAGACCGTGAGGTATTGTAGCTTCTATCTCTTCTATTTGTTCTTTCTGCTTGAATCTCTCTCATTCTCCCAAAACGTTCTTTTAACCTTTTATCCCCCCTCCCCCCTCCTGTCCTTTACCACCAGACTTCTTGGACAAGTAGCAAGTACTCATTGTTTTACTTCCTCCCCTCTCGTCGCCTCCCACTGCAGTTTTGCTTCCACCCCAGCTTCTTACTCTACTAATCAGAGGTCACTGATAAACTCCCGTGACCAGTCTGCTGCTCGAGTCTCACTCTTCATTCTGTTTGATTTCTCAGCAACAACTGACCTTGCCACATCTGGAAACTGGCTCTGCTCTTACTTCCTTGACTTCATTTTCAGTCTCCTTCCTCTCCGTATTACTCAAATGTTTATGTCCCTTTGGCTTTTTCCCTTGGTCTTCTATCTTCTCTGGTGCTTGACCTTCATCTTGATCCATATCTACACGCCCATGGCTTCGGTTACTACCCGTTACTGTTACTGCTCATCAGGCCAACAGCTATCCCTGGCCTGATCAGCCTGCTAGACTGCCACTCATCTGGCCACCCGAGGCAAAAACCCACATTTCATTTTTTATTCCTATCTTTTCACCACCGTTCTCCCACCTAGCCATCAAGTCGGTCACCTCATTCTAACAGTTTCATCTCTGACATGCCTTTCACATACATCACTTTTCTGTTCCTTTCACCATTGTGACTTAGATTAGTCTTCATCTTCTCCAGCCTTGACTATTATTCATAGCTGAGCTAATATGGCCTTTTGTCTTCTCTACTGTCTCCAGAGTCATTTGGTTCTGTTTAAAAAGAAAAAAGAAAAAAAAGTCCCCAGACATAAGTAAAGGGGAGCTTCACAAAGATACGAATTTTTGTTTCTTTTGTTCTCTGCTGGACCTCCAGTACCTAAAACAGTACCTGGCACAGAATCAGTTAATGAACACCTGTTCCCCCAAATCCAAATTCTTTAACATGCCATTTAATGTATTTTCATGGTCTGTACTGAATTGCAATCTCCTCTTTCCTACCTCTTCCTCTCCCTACCCTCCACCTTCCCAAATACATACTCCAGCTCTGCTGGGCTGCTTTTCAATCCCAACTTGAACTGTCAGTTCCTCAATCTTGCTTTTCTGTTTCTTCTGTCCAGACTGCCCCTGCCTCATATCTAGCGTCCTCTTGTTCCTCTTCCTTCCTTCCTGCTCAACGAACTCCTGTTCATCCTTCAGGGCCCAGGTCTTCATCTCTGTGGAACTTTCAGTGAGCATTACAGCTGATCAGAGTTGTAACTTTTTCTTTCTTCATAACCTGTGGTTTATTTCTGCTAATGTATTACTTAGCCCATTACATTACAGCTATGACTGCTGTTATTTTCCATCTTTCTCCCTAGTTTTGTTTTGAGCTCCCTATGTCCATCTTTGAATTCCTATACCTAGCACAATGCCTGACACAGGTATTCATTTTTCTGTTAAAGTGAATATAAAAGGTAGAGAGAGATGTTGGGAACCAGCACCTGAGAGCCCAAAAGAAAAGAAACATTATGCCCACTTAGAACAAACCGCTTAGAACAAAACTGAATGCACACACTAAAAATCCTGCAACATCAAACCGCCAGTATTTTGTTTTTTAATAAAAATGGGAGCCCCGTAGGGTTTTATTTTTCATTTATTTTTTTAATATGAAAATACATTTTGAAAATAAGAGCATTTTCAACTAAGGAGAATGTATTTTGTAGTCAAGTTGAGTCTAAGCACTTGGAAATTCTAGACATTGTATTTTATTATGGCAATTTATTTTATACAACTCTTTACCATTTTAGATGTAGCTCGTACCTTGGGATTACATCATCACTATATAAATTAGATCAGTTTAAAATTTGCGTTATCAGACTTAAAATGTACATTTTATATCATTTGAAACATAGTTCTGTAATATATGGGACAATGATAACTATTTTACACTTTTATAACTTGTCTTCTTAACTTACTTTGCATTCTTTTATATTATATAGAAATCTGTTGGTGAAAAAGGAATTGATGTGATTATTGAAATGTTAGCTAATGTAAATCTTAATAATGATTTGAATCTTCTGTCCTATGGAGGACGAGTAATAGTAAGTATTTCTTTTTTTAACCACTTTGAAGTTTTGCCGTAATTTAACACTGTTTTGCAGAAATCTTTCATCAATAGTCTTTAACGATAGACATCGTTAAAATAATCTTTAACGGTAGACGTGTAATCTTTATAATAGGTTGTTGGCAACAGAGGTTCTATCGAAATAAACCCACGTGACACCATGGCAAAGGAAACTAGTATAATTGGAGTTGCTCTCTATTCATCAACCAAGGTAGGAATAGAGGTGATTCTGATTTTGGTAACTTAAGCATTGATGCAGTTTGCCTAATCAGACAGACTAGAAGTTTAGATGTAAAACTTAGTTATGTGACTGGATAAGTAGGTTAAGGATTAGTCACTAGAAGATAACTAGGGTGGCCGTGTAATTTATTTTCCAAGTCAGGACACTTTTGAGAGAGAAAGGAGATCCCATTAGCAATTACTTCAAGACAAAAAGCATTTGAAAACTGAGACTGTCTCAGACAAATTGGACTTACGATTATCCTATAGAGATGGGATAACCTTTCGTAGTTCTGGACAGGTTGACAAAAGCCACACATTTGTAAGAAAACTCTTTATGCTTTCTTAGATTCTGAAAATGTTTAGTGCTTCTGAAAATTAAGTTATATGTCCCTCTACAAAACACCTTTTCTTTCACTTAGGAGGAATTTCAGCAATTTGCTGCAGCCCTTCAAGCTGGAATGGAAGTTGGCTGGTTGAGACCTGTAATAGGGTCTCAGTATCCGTTGGAGAAGGTGGCCCAGGCTCATGAAAATATCATTCATTGCAGTGGGGCTACTGGGAAGATGATTCTTCTCATATCTTGATTAATTCTTTCATGTATTTCCATGTAATTAGAGGTTTCTTACCCCAGTTTTACTTACACTGTCTTTGCTTTAACTAGCATTCATTTGATTCAGTGAGTTTCTTATATTGAAAAACAAGATTTGTCTTTAGAGATCCTGAGCATCGGAGTACAATTTGTGTTATGGCTGGCAATATTCTTTAGGCCTTTTACCTGTAATCAAGCGGTCATCATAGTGGGAAATAGAATGTTATGGTCATTGCCATTGGAGTGCATTATAGACATTCCTGATCATTAATTTCATACCTTTGACTAAAACATGCTAATTAAAAATCACACTGCTTGATTTCCAAACAGATATTCTTCTTATAAAGGTTCTTTAATTTCTGATTACCCCAGAACTGTATTTGACTATGAAGATTTTCTAGACTAAACAAGACCCCTTTTTCAAGCTAATCTCATGTGGATCTACAAGTCTCTTGGAAGGGCAAAATAAACAATGTCCAGAGAAATTTGTTAGTTTTCCAATATTTCTCCAAATGTTAGGACATTTACTATGTTAATGGTTGATTACCAGTGATCCATATATTTTGTGAAGACAGCAGCCCTATCTTTGATATAATATGATACTGGGTACGTAGTCTCCAAATAGATACTTCTTGATGGATTCGATTTCAAATTAGATTTAGAATTATCTGTTTGTGTGATAGGGGGTCATATATTTTTATTTAATTAATAAACAAATTTAACACATTAAGAATGATCTGCTTTTGTTTTCATAACATGGTAATCTGCAATGAATTCTATAGGAAATTAAAAACTGTGTTTATCTAGTTTGTCTTTATGCAGTACTCGCCTTACTTCACTCTTACATCACTTGTAATGGTTGCTTCCTAGCAGTGTTTGGTGCTGAAGTCTTTATCTAAACTAAGAAAAGGGGGATTATGTAGAAATCTTGCCATCAATATTATGTCCAAGGAAACGAGGTTTGATTGTTAATGTTGTCCTTGTTTTCCTTTGTATGAACACAGCCTCCTGTCTGTTGCTGCATTATATGCTCGTTTCTCTTGACCTAATTTGTTGTTTTGAATGACAGTCGTAGTCCTGCTTTGAACATAGAATCCTGCTTTAATAGTGAACAGAAAGCTAAGTTCTGCAATTGAGGGATGTCTTGGCTTCTGGCTGAATGTGCCATGGCTGAAATGTTTTGGCTATTAGCATTTTCCAAGTTGATTCACTATTTCTTTTATGTGAAATAACATGTTTGAAAAAAAGTATTAAAAAGCAATGTCATCAATATAGAGACTAGCATTTTATATACATCCTAAAATGAAAGATTCCTTCACATATGAAAAATAAAGGAATAATTATTCTGTAGAAGTCAGTTAAATCTGTTTGCACATTTGCCTTAACTATATAGAATGAGCTGAAGCATACTGCTGACTTAATAATTCACAGCCCATTGATACAATTCAGTTCAGTTCAAAGGCAAAATTAGCCAAACTCTATGTACTAACTACTGTATTTACGATTATGTAGCCCTGGACATGTTCCCTGTACGAATCTCCTTGGTAGTTCTTGTTTTATTCTTATCCCAGTTTTTAGCCAACTGTCCTCACTGCTCTGCTGGTGCCTATAGCCTGAGGGCTACTGCACCAGTCACCAGTGCTGTCCCTGACACAAAGCAGAGACTAGCCTGTAGAATCGACAGGCATCATGTCACATCTCAACCGTCTGAATTTCTGTCCTTTTTGCTTTGACCTTAGAAGCGTATTTGTTTAGAATCATATAATGTGTTAGAGATCAGATAGATCAGCCGCCCTGGGCTTAAGAAGGTGAAATGACGTGCCAAAGGGCCACATGACTAGTACGTTCAAACTCAGGCTTTGGATATGAAACCTGAATTTTAATTCCAGGCCTTTGACTTTCCTGGCTTGCTGTACTTCCAGCTACTGTAGGAGATGAACTGCCTGCGTTTCAGCCCCATTTTACCTGAGGTTCCTAGTTTCTGACCCTATGAATTATCCTTGCCTCAGTTGTCACTTATCTCTTGATTTGACAGTCTTTCATGAAGGGACTATTCTATTCATCCATTAGTTCAAAATATTTGTTGAGTACTTAGGAGTCTGAAGACACATGCTAGAATTTGAGGATACAAAGATGTGTAAGATACAGTCCACATCCTTGAGCTTACAGGTGAGTAGGGACAAGAACCAAGTAAAACATTTTTTTAGAGTATTGTATATATACATCTATGGTATTGTGTATATACATATATATATATCATACACACATATGTATGCATGTATAAAGAGATTTCTTTTTAAATTTTCTCACGCAGTTATGGGGGCTGACAAGTCTACATCTATAGGGCAGGCCAGTGGGGCTTTTGTATGTCAGTATTAAGGCAGACTTCTTCCTCTGGGAAACCTGTTTTGGTTCTTAAGACTTTTGACTGACTGAATGAGGCCCACCTGCGTTATGAGGGTGATCTACTTAAAGTCAACTGGTGACTGTTAACATAAAAGGAACCATCACAAGAGGTGACCTGGGGATACACACGAGGAGCATGTAGTGTAGCTTGGGGTTTACAATGAAGATTTAATGTTTTTGATGCATTTATTTGTTAGCTCCCTCTATTCATATAACGTGGATGTTTCTGGAAGGGAAAAGGTAGCATTTGTTAATATCCTTAGTTCAGCTTTATTGAGGCAAGAAATTGTTTGTGTGCCAAGGAACTTGTACAATTTACAGTGTAAAGAGCTTTTCTTTCTCTACAAGGTAACTATCGAGAACAGCAAAACCTATCAGGTCATTTTGGCCTCGTTCTCTGTGTCCTCAATCATGTCTCACAGACAGGAAAACACCTCTCAGCTCAGTCCTTAATTCTCTTGCCAATACTACCATTTAGTACAGTGATTTTTCTAAAATGTCATTTGAAAATTATCATAAAACAATTTCATCGATCCATGGGGCTTTAGGAATAGCTCATATTGTGGGAACTTCCTACATCCAAGGAAAGAGTCCTAGGAAATGTTATATCATAGAAAGAAATCTAAAGGCACTTTGGTCTCTATCATTGACCACTAGATGTGGATAGGGGCAGTCCATGTTTGTTCTTTAACACTGAGTATTGATCCCAAACCCATTGCGTGGTACAGATGCTCATTAAAGAGTGTTCAGCATGACCACAGATGGGCAGGCAGTCCTGGATTTGTCCTTTCCCAGCCTCATATAGAAATACCCACAAACACTGAAACTACTAGAAACTAAAGGTAAGAGGAAACCCTGTGCCAAAATCCATTGGGAATTTGTAGTATCTCCAGTGTCAGTCATTTAATTCATTGACTCAAATTGGCTGCAGAGTAGATAGGAAAAATCCTCAACTCAGTCACTGCTTCCGACTCAAGACACAGGAGCTACACTGCCGGGAAAATCAACTCCCCCTTAGCCACAAATATCTGAGCTAGCTGGGGATTTATGCCTATCGCTCATTATCCCTCAGCTTCTTGCCTTCACCTGCCCTTTAGAGACTACAGGTCTCCATTTGGGGTGCAACTGCAGATTCAGGAGGGAGGGGGACTTTGTACCCTTGGATGTACAGTTGCACAGAGAAAACCATGCAAATGGGTGGAGAGCAGAGGATCCCTGGATTGCAGCAAATGCTTGACTGTCGCAGAGCCAGATTATCTAGGAATCAGCAGCAGATGCTCCTGCCTTAGTCCAGCAGGCACTAGGATTGACACAAGGTACTGAGGAGGCCACCTTACTCCAGGTATAGATCTGAAAGGCCTAGGAAACCCTCTGGTAGAGTTGGTAAGAGCATGGGTGTGGAGGCAGGAGGCCTGGTTTTCAACCCTGGCTCCACTCCTGACTGGCTGTGGGGTCCTGGGAAAATTACTTTGTCATTCAGAGTCTCAATTTCCTCATGTGTAACGTGGGAGTAATATCTACCTCAGAGTTTGTAAGAAGTAAACAAGATAATGTCTGTGAAATACTTAGCACCCTGTCTTACACAAAATGCTTCAGTAATTATTCTTTCATTGTTATGTGCCATAAAGGACGTGTAAGTTGAGATAAAGGAGAGGAATAAAAAGGGAGTATTCTGAAATATGCAAAAACTGAAAGGAAACCCCACATTCTGATTCCCATAGGAGGCATGAATCAGCATAGCTGACACTATGGAAAACTTCATTAGTCATATGGGTAATTTGATCCCTCCCTCTCCAAAAAAGTAGAGAAAAGAGATGAGAAAAAAAATAAAATAGAGCAAATGAAAAACAAATGAAAATGCAACCTTTGACTTATAAGTGTGGCCCCTCCCCCCAAAAAAAACCCCAGAAAAATGAAAGAAGTAATAATTAAAACTTTCCTGAGCTAGCCAAAAAGAGCTAACTTTATTCACTAATATAACATTTATATCTAGGCAAGATTAATCAAAACTAATAATAAGACATATCTTTACAAAATTTTAAATTTCACATAATTAGATATTGGAAGGGAGCATGCAGAAAAATCATTATTTAGAGTTATAGTATTCAAAACCTGGAGAATACAAGAGAGCAAATGGAAAAACTATTAATGAGTTCAGAAAGATGGCTAGTTGCATAATAAACCTACAAAAATTAACATAAAGCAGTTGATTAGTTAGAAAATATAATGGGAAAATATCTCATTCACAATAGCAGTACTACTATTACTAATTTAAAAAGCAGTAAAGTATAAGTGACCAAATTTACAAAAAACATACAGGACCTTTAAAAAGAAAACTGTAAAACTTTCCTAGGAGACTTAAAACAATATTCAAAGAAAGAATTCTTGGTCAGATTCATGTAAAGATTTTCCTTCCCCTTATACTCTAGAAATTCAAAGTGATTTATATCAAAATCTTAATAGGGCTTTTTAGGAACCTGAAAAGATATTTATGAAGTTTTTTTTGTTTTGTTTTTGGAAAAAAGGGCAAATAACTATAAAAAATTCAGAAAAAAAAATAATGAATTGGAACAAGTTGCAGCAGATACGAAAAATTTTTACCATGTTAGAGTTACTAAAGTAGAGTGATATTAGTCCAAGGATAACTACATCAGTGGAACAAAATAGTCTAGAAGTGCTTCTCACTTTTGTGGGTGATAAAAATTGGCTTTTCAGTGGGGAAATTCAGTAAAACTGGCTACCTATTTGGTAGGTAAAAAATAGGTACTCAAAAGCCAAAACTATAAAAGAAACAGCAAAGTAAGAAAAATGAAAAAGATCTCCAATACCAGATAACAATGAATAATCTTAAGAAAATAATTCTTCAAGTTAACTAGTAAATGATGAACATCCCATAAGAGAGGTGGACATGGGCAGATAATTCATACAAGAATAGGAACATAGAGCCAGTGAACTTATGGAAAGAGTTGTTAAGTCTCATTAGTGATACAAGAAATGGACACTCATGGACTATTGATGAGAATATAAAATTGTTTCTGTTCTGGAGAGCGGATAGGCAATGTCTTTAAGATTAAAATGTGACTCCTCTTTGACTCATTAATTTCACTACAGGAATTTATCCTAAAGAGGTAGACATGTATGTAGAGACATATATGTCAATATTATTTTCATTGCAGCATTACTTACCATAGTAAAATATTGGAAACACCTAAATTTCCATCAATGGAGTGATTAAAAAGCTAATCTATTTATACAGTGTAATATATTTAGCTATTATAATGATTATGTAGATCTATAGTTACTAACATGGG